TCAATTCGATCATTGTCAGAGAAGGATGCTTCATTTAACTTGTTTTTACGAACGTTGCTCTTTTATCTTTCAGGGAAGAAGTCTCTAATCCAAGCTCTACTTCCCCTCGAAGTATTGGTTTAAAATACTTGGAAGTTTTATTTTCTTTCTTCAATCTGATAGTTATTTCACTGTTACATCTAACTTAACTCCATCTATTACCCAGTTTTTTTTACAGTGACTGTTTATAACTAATGCTAACTTTGGCATTAAATGCTTAAGCAGGAACATCTCAAAGACACTACCCTGGGGCATGGGGGTGTGGAGATGAGCCAGGAAGGAGTCAGTGCTGAAAAGTGTGACACAGGAAAGGGCCAGAGTGTCAGAGTGACAGTGAGGACCTGACATACATGTTGTTTTTACACAAGTCTGCTGACGACTACAACCATCATTTCTGCTGCCGGAAGGAAACCTGACTCGAAATGTTCCTGAGCTTCTAAACTGGAAATTCCAGACATGGCAGGACTGTATTGAAGCTACAAGTTTAAACCTGAAATGTGGACTACAGTGATTTTTAGACAATGTATCAGTAATGGAGCCCTTGGTTCAGTGCCGGGCTCTATTAAGTTCTATTTTGTGTTCCTTCCTTGTGGTTTTTTAAGTACCTGTAAGTCTCCTGCAGTGCCCAGGGGTAGCTTGGCACACAACTTCAGATTTAAAAAACTTGTAGTGAGTCCCTGTGTCCTCACCATTCTCCAGTAGGACATCTTTCTTTCTTTTTCTTTCCTTCCTTCCTTCCTTCCTTCCTTCCTTCCTTCCTTCCTTCCTTCCTTCCTTCCTTCCTTCCTTCCTTCCTTCCTTCCTTCCTTTTATTTTTTTGTTCAGATAGAGTGGGAGGGAGAGAGAGGGAGAGAGAGAGAGACATCGATGTGAGAGAGGCACATTGACTGGTTGCCTCCCACATGACCCCCACCAGGGCCAGTGATGAACTGCAACCAAGGTACATGCCCTTGACCCGAAATGAACCCATGACTCATTGGTCCATGGGCCGACGCTCTAACTGCTGAGCCAAACCGGCCAGGGCTATAGGACATATTTCTAGGGTCCTAATAAACGTAGTATTTTTAGCCCGGTTTACTTTATCCAGCTGCTGTAATTGCTGAGCTTCAAGCCATTGACTAGATCACAAAGTTGCATATGAAGAGTGCCAAAGTAGTGCGTGATCAACCAGTTTTTCATAACCATTCCAATAGAGTTAGACCAACAGTTTTTATTTGCTCTATGATAGAAATGCATTATGTGGAACATAACACTTTGAAGTCTTCTAAGACCAAAAAAAAAAAAAGAGACTAATTTTCAAATAAAGGTTGTGAAATTTGCATACTACTATATTTACCCTCAATAAACGTGTAGGTGTAATTGTAAGTATTGCTACCGATTCAGTAACTTTTGGTGAAAAGTCTATAGCTACATTAAATATACACATCAATTGTAAGTCAAATTCTTGATTCTGAAAACATTACAAGGAGAATAAAAGTACAATGTAGCACTGAGAATATATTGAAAATTCTTTTTCTTGGAGAGCCACAATCAAATGAGCATATTAAATGCCTTGGGAAGCCTCACATTAATAAAAGCTTGTAATTTTAGTTTTACTCTGGGTTATCCAAAATCACTCATATATTGTAACCCCAATGATCAGACTACAAGGAATGCTGGCTTATCATGTGGTTGTTGTTTAAAAGTAGACCCCCCCTCCCCCAATATTTCATTCAGAGGTGTTCAAAATAACATTTTTAGGAATATCTTGAATTTTTTCTGATCAGACTTCCCACTAGGTGGTAGTGTTACAACAGCAAATCCTTCACACTAATGGCCTAGCGGCTTCAATTCCATTCCACGGACCTCGACTGAGTGCCTGCTGTTTTGTGAGGTACCTGCTAATGCTATATGGCCCAGTGGCTTTGCTGAGACAGAGATCCGCTTTCTTTACTCTCAGGCCAGTGATCTTTCCATTTACACAGCATATGCCCTTACCAAAGCAAATGCCTCATTTCTTAACCAAGAGTCTTTGAAAAGCTATCTACTTACAAATCTGTAAAATTTTCTAAGGAGTTATGCAAGAAGGCCAATCTCTTGATGAGAAGGCAAAACTGACGGCAGAAAAGATCCGTGAAAACTTATGAGAGTTTTCATCAGTTCCTAGATCCCAGAAGGGTGAGAGGTAGATACAGTCGGTTCTAGAAACAGTTCAGCACAGGAAAAACGTGCGGAGTAGAACTTCAGCAGGCCCAGCACATGTGACCCACACATACACTCCAGGCCAGAGAGCATATTGATCGGAGATCCGACGCTGAAGCTGCTTGAAAGGCTGCTCTGTTACAACAAGAAGTGACCTTAAGGATTAGCTTGTTTAAGACCTTTATTTTATAAATGAGGCTGCTGAGGTTAGGGGAAAATAAGGCATTTTTCACATGAGCAGAGGAAAATCTAAGAAGATCTGTTTTGAGGACATTATTTTGGCTTTCATCATTTTCAGGATCTCTGATGTATATCTTTCTCCCAATTTTAGGATTGGTGACTTCTGAGTCTCCCTGCCTGTCCAATACTTGTTGCTACCATGACTCCTTATTCTGAGCAGAAATCTGTGATTCACAAGACTCTAGTTCTTCTATCATAGAATGGAATCCTCGCAGCATCCCGCAGCCTGGCATGGTGCCTACCATGTAGTAATCTCCTATGTATGCATGCATCTATTCTGACCCATCCCCTCATCAGCATCCATTAGATAGGAGAGGAATAATTTGATAACATCTTCAGAGCCCTCCTTCATTTTTGGTAACATCTATTTTTTTGTTTGTTTTGTTAATCCTCACCCTAGGGTATTTTTTCCATTGATTTTTTGGAGAAAACAAAAGGGAGGGAGGGGGAGAGAGGGAAGGAGAAAGAGAAGGGGAGAAGGGAGGGGGAGAGAGACAGAGAGAGAAAGAGAGAGAGACAGAGAGAGAGAAATATCAATGTGAGAGACACATTGATTGGTTGCTTCCTTTATGTACTCTCAGAATCAAGCCTATAATCTAGGTATGTGCTCTTTTTTAAAAAAAATTATTTATTTTTGTTACAGATGTTTCTCCTTTTCCCCCCATTGATTCCACCCTCTCCCTCCCTCCCTGCCCTGTCCCCAGCTTTGTTGTCCATATCCATTGTTCATGCACACATGCATGTAAGTTCTGTGGTTTATCTCTCCCCCAACCCTCTTCTGGGGATTGTCAGTCTATATACCACTTTCACGTCTCTGGAACTACCCCATTCCTCTGACTGTTATGTTCATTATATTCCACAAATAAGTGAGATCATATGATACTTGTCTTTCTCTGTTTGGCTTGTTTCACTTAGGATGATACTTTCCAGGTTCCTCCATGTAGTCTCAAAGGATAAGAGATCTTTCTTTCTTACAGCTGCATAGTACTCCATTGTGTATATGTATCACAGCTTTTTTATCCATTCGTCTACTGATGGATACTTGGGCTGTTTCCAGATCTTAGCTATTGTAAATAGTGCTGCTATGAACATAGGGATACATATATTCTTCCTGATTGGTGTTTCAGGTTTCTTAGGGTATATTCTTAGAAGTGGGATCACTGGGTCAAATGGAAGTTCAATTTTTAATTTTTTGAGGTAACACCATATTGTTTTCCATAGCGGCTGCACCAGTCTGCATTCCCACCAGCAGTGTATTAGAGTCCCCTTTTCTCCACACCCTCGCCAACACTTGTTGTTTGATGATTTGTTGATGGCGGCCATTCTGACAGGTGTGAGGTGATACCTCATTGTTGTTTTAATTTGCATCTCTCTGATGATTAGTGATGTTGAGCATTTCTTCATATGTCTCTTGGCCATTAGTATGTTCTATTTGGAGAGGTGTCTATTCAGTTCCTCTGCCCATTTTTTAATTGGGTTCTTTGTCTTCCTTTTGTTGAGTTGTATGAGCACTCTATATATATTGGAAATTAACCCCTTATCTGATACATCATTGGCAATGATGTTCTCCCATACAGTGGGTTGCCTTTCCATTTTGATGATTGTATCTTTTGCTGTGCAGAAGCTTTTGAGTTTGATGTAGTCCCATGTGTTCATTTTCTCCTTTGTTTCTGCTGCCTTAGGTGATGTATCAGTGAAAATTCTGCTGTGTATGATGTCTGAAATTTTGATGCCTGCATTTTCTTCTAGGATTTTTATGGATTCATGAGTCATATTTAAGTCTTTTATCCATTTTGAGTTTATTCTTGTGTATGGTGTAAGTTGATGGTCTAGTTTCATTTTTTTTGCATGTAGCTGTCCAATTTTCCCAACACCATTTTTTAAAGAAGCTGTCTTTCCTCCACTGTATGCTCTTGCCTCCTTTGTCAAATATTAGTTGAGCATATTGCCTTGGGTCCATTTCTGGGTTCTCTATTCTGTTCCACTGGTCTATATGCCTGTTCTTGTGCCAGTACCAGACTGATTTGATTACAGTGGATTTGAAGTATAACCTGAAATCTGGTAATGTGATCCCTTCAACTTTGTTCTTCTTTTTCAAGATTGCTGTGGCTATGCGAGGTCTTTTTTGGTTTCATATGAACTTCTGAAGTATTTGTTCTATTTCTGTGAAGTATGTTGTTGGTGTTTGATGGTGATTGCATTGATCTATAGATCGCTTTGGGTAGTATGGACATTTTAATGATGCTAATTCTTCCAATTCATGAACAAGGTATGTGCTTCCACTTTTTTATATCTTCCTCTATTTATTTTTTCAATGATCTGTAGTTTTCTGGGAATAGGTCCTTTATTTCTTTGGTTAAGTTTATTCCTAGGTATTTTAATTTTTTTGCTGCAATGGTAAACGGGACTTTTTTTTAGTTTCTCTGTTAGTTCATCATTGGTGTATAAGAATGCCGTCAATTTCTTGACATTAATTATGTATCCTGCTACTTTGCCAAATTTATTTATTAAGTCTAGTAAATTTTTGATGGAGTCTTTGAAAAGATATGGAACGCTTCATGAATTTGCGTGTCATTCTTGCGTAGGGGACATGTTAATCTTCTCTATATCGTTTCAATTTAGTATATGTGATGCTGAAGTGAGCACCAGGTATGTGCTCTTGACTGGGAATCAAACCTGCGACCCTTTGGTCCATGGGTCCAATGCTCTAACCACTGGGAAACACCACTGAGTCACACATGCCAGGGCAGTAACATCTCTTTTTTTAAAAAAATATGTTTTTATTAAAATTTTTTAGAGGGAGAGGGAGGCAGAGAGAGATAGAGACATAGATCACCTGCCTCCTGCACTCCCCTGCACTGGGGATTGTGCCCAAAATCTGGGCATCTGCCCAGACCGGGAATCAAACCAGGACCTCTCAGTCCATGGGTTGATACTCAGTCCACTGAGCCACACCAGCTGAGCTATAACATCTATTTTTAACAATAACTTTTTGGAAACAACATTGCTACTCTTCTTACCTTTCTCATATGGTTTCTGTATTATAATTTTATATTATAAACTCCCTACCCTGATATTTACAGACATTTTCCTATATTTTCACCTAGTACTACTTATTCATACTGACATTTAAATTGTTAATCATTCTAGAATTTATTTTTTGCCTAAGGTTAGATAATTTTCTGATAGCACTTATTGATTTATCTATCCTTTCCCCACTGGTTTGAGGTATCATATTTGTCATCATTTTATATGTAATTGTATATATAACAAAATAATATAATTCATTATTATTTATAATAGTAAAATATGTAATTTTTATATGCTGTAAATGATAAAAATGTAAAGTATATATTTGATATATAATAAAGAAAATATATATCATCTGTTTCTATAATTTTATTATATTTTATCGATTTGTCTATCTGACTTTTTATTGTAGAAAGGATAGAATATATTACTTTTTTTTTTTCATCCTCACCCGAGGACATTTTTCCATTTTTTGTTCAGGTAGAGTGGGAGGGAGAGAGAGGAACAGAGAGAGAGAGAGAGAAACATCGATGCGAAAGGAACACATCGAGTGGCTGCCACCCGCACAACCACCAGGGCCAGGGACAAACTGCAACCGAGATACGTGCCCTTAGCGGGAACCGAACCCGGGTCTCTCAGGACCACAGGCTGATGCTCTAACCGCTGAGCCAAACCGGCCAGGGCTTACTTTTTTTTTCTTTGGAACAAATGTATAACATATTTAATATATATTGTCAATATTGAATATGGAGATGATTAGCTAAGTGAACAATAAACTCAGTCCTGATAATATATGAATTGACATACATATAAGGAGAGAGTTTTTATTGCTATGAGAGCTTGAGGATTACGGGAGATGACCAAGGAGCATAGGTGATGAAGTCCCTGAGCTTAGCAGAGGTGTGTACATTTCCTCGTCTACTCTTACAATCATCTCTGGTAGGTCTTGCTTGGGTTTGAGAAACATAGTCATTGAGAATGAGTGCGTAGGACGCATTGTCTTCTTTCCTAGAGACACAGTCATTAAATATTTAAGGACAGTCGAAAGCAAGATCAGAATAATCCTGAGGTGTAAGAGCACAATGTTCTCATTCTCAAGTTTCTGGAAGAGGGGAAAAAAAAGAAAGATGAATAACAGTAAATTGTGTGAGTTTATCATGAGAATGAAATGAAATTCCAAAATGTTATCTAGCCCAAATTAGATGACTAATGATATTATCTTCCCTAGAAGACATTCTATGAAATCCTTGTGAGCAACAGAGACTTTAGTAAGAACATAAAAAAGAAAAAAATTTTCAAATATGACACTGATCAGTCTTTTTTACATTAAAAAAATTTTTTTTTTCTTTACTGAGTTTTTAGAGAGGAAGAGAGAGGTAAAGAGAGATAGAAACATCAATGAGAGAGAACATCCTTTGGCTGCCTCCTGCATGCCCCCTAATGGGGATGGAACCCACAACCTGGGCATGTGCCCTGACCTGGAATTGAACCGGCGACCTCTTGGTGCATGGGTCAACACTCAACCACTGAGCTAAACCGACCGGGCCAGTCTTTTACATTTGATAAAATAACTGGATGGATCAAAAGTGAGTATTAGATTTAAATTTTTTGAAATATGGAATGTTATTTTTTCTCTAGCAAGGAATATTTGCTGAATGCTACACACTTCACAGGAAAGTATGTGCTTTGACAATATGGGTAGAAGAACTTTCTGTTGTTGGTTTTGGAGGAGGGAGGGGCTCATATACATTCGTCAATTAGTTCTGTAGGTTAGGTCAAATGAAAAGTTTTTTAATTTGGAGGTAAACTGTTGGGCTTTAGCAGTTAATGAGAAAATTATTAATAGGTTAAGCTAGGACATACTTGATCTGTGTTACTGAGGAGGAACTGTTAAAGGTCCGATCTCTCTAGGTCTGAAGCCTATAGGTTAGGGACTTTTTTATTCAGCCAGACGGTTTTAGTATCAAGTCAAGAGTTTTGTATATCTTTGGTTTTGCAATTCAAAGGCCATGCCTCAGTCAGTTAAGAGGTCAAGATTGAGGAGTTGTTTGTCAAGGACATTTCTAGGCACTGAGGTGGAATCACAGGCCTGGGACACGAAACCATCCCTTTCAATTATTTTTTTTTGGAAACCCAAGAATAGAACACTCAGGCAGTAAGAAAGTAAAACCCTTGTGTGGTAGAATGATTGCAATAATGATTTGGTTCTGTCATTGCTCTTTGCCATGTAACTTTGTAGTGCCTTCCCACTCTGACTCTGGGCTGGGCCTTGTTACTTGCTTTGTCCAAAGGGATGTTGTAGGGTAAACAAATACCTTAGTTTGCCTGGAGTTGAGGGGGTTTTCTGTGGGATGTGGGATACACCAGGCAAACCAGGACTATTGGTCACTCTAAGACTTGGCAAATGGAGCAGGCAGAAGCTGGAAAGGAGCATTCACTTGCCTGCATTGCCTCATCTTGAGGAGGATGCCCAGGTTAGCTTGCTGGAAGAGGACACTTGAAGAGCTGTATCCTCCCGGTCCTTCCTGCTGAGTCCTACATTAGCTGATTCTTAGTGGACCACACACCCATGTATGAACTCAGCCAGATCAGCTGATATCCATAGACTCATGAGCTAAGTAAATGTCTGTTATATGCCACTGAGATTTTGTGAGTGTATGCTATGCAGCATTATTGTGCCATAGATATATGAGACATTTACCTTTATTCAACATATACATTATTTCTTAAAATAGTTTTTATTTATATTTTTAGAGAGAGAGAGAGAGAGGGAGAGAGAGATAGAAACATTGATGTGAGAAACATCCATTAGCTGCCTCCTGCACGCCCCCTACTGGGAATTGAACCCATAACCCGGGCGTGTGCACTGAACGGAATTGAACTGGGACTTCTCAGTCCATGGGATGATGATCAATCCACTGAACCACACCAGCCAGGCTCAACATATACTTTATTTAGATTTATCAACAAATTAGGAAATAAAGAACAGAACAGCCCTTCATTTGTAAAATTTGAACATTATAAATGTTGGTATTGGAAATAGTTTTATAATTTAGATATCATTATCGTCAAATGCTCAGAGGATTGATTAGATGATTTTTCAGGATATGGCTGGAAGGTCAGGGACGGAACTTGTGTCACTCAGTGCTTTGGTCATCATTGCCCAGGAAAGGCTGTGCCCTTTGCTTCATGGCTGTTGGTGGTTCTAGGTGAATTTCTCCATAATGTTCTAGATGAGCAATCCTGGTCCTTCAGCTTCTCTACCTGCTCAGTGGCTTCCCTGCATTATTTGAAGTTATGTTTCAATTTTCTGAAAATTTGTTTGTTTCAGCTGTTACTAGTGCATCTGTTTGGATAAGTCCATCACCATTTATTTTCTGTGTACACGCAGATCATGAAAACAGAAATTTGTAGTTGGAAAGAGCTACAAAAATAACCATCCTCCCAGTTTTTCATGAGGAAACTGAGATTTGCAAAAGTTAAACTCCTTTGTGTCCAGTGCATTCAGCAAATAAATTGCAGAAGTAGGACTGGAACTTGCGAACACTAACTGTTAGTTTAAAAGTGTTTTAATCACCTCTGAGACATTTCCTCAGGGACAGCTGAGCGCTGCCCCTCCCCCATCTTTTTACTACCAGGGACTCTGGCTTTGTCTTCCCAGCCCTCAGTAGAAGGTTTGGTGTTGCCAGGCTGAGTGAGGTAAGACCTATTCGCATATATAAGGGTAACAACAAAACAAAAAAGAAAAATAATTACGTGTTTTATTTTCCCTGATATTTAAAAGAATAATCCCGGCCCATACCATTACTTCTTTCCTTTCAGAGCATTTCTTCAGAAAACTTGGAATGTATACAAACCCCTTTAAAACCCAAATAAGCCTCCTGCCTGCGTTATAACCCAGGAATGTTTTTCTCAAGGACCTGGGAGCCAAGTCTTTGAAATATAATCCTTAAGGAAAAGGGCAGCCCTATCTCTCCGCTTGTGTGGACGGGTGGGAGGCTAGCTTCCATGGGCCTCACTCCAAAACGACATCCTGCCCTAAAGACATGAGAAGTTTGTTTCTCCTCTGAATAAAGCCAGTGATCTCGCAGAGAGGGCCATTCCAATTACCAAGTGGACCTAGGATGGACTGTGTGTGACAAATGGTGCTCTCAAGTCCTCTTACTTGAGGACTAGTTACGGGTTAGCCTTAGGACATGCATGTCGTCTTGGATCTGCCTGGCTATTTAAAGGGTAAGATCTCTTTCTGTCTGCAGTTCCTTAGTGGATTGACTGTGATAATGGTTACATTCTGGTTTTATGCCTATTTGATACTAAAACTGTTTTCTTTCTCTTCTATGTTTGTGGAGAGGTTATCTGAGTTGGCAGGAGATTTTGAAAAAAATTTTTTTTTCTTTATTGATTATAGAGAGAGAGGAAGGGAGAGGGAGAGGAAGATAGAAACATTGATGAGAGAGAACATCCATTGACTGCCTCCTGCATGCCCCCTACTGAGAATCGATTCCACGCCTTGGCATGTGCCCTGACTGGGAATTGAACCTACGAGCTCCTGGTGCATGGGTTGATGCTCAACCACTGAGCCACACAGGCTGGGCGAGGTTTTGCTTTTAATTATA